CGGGCCGCCGGCGGAGCCCCCCGGGCGCCCCCGCGAGTTCCGCTCGCCGCCCCAGGAGCAGGTGGGGGACGGCTGCCGGAGCGGGGACACCCGTGGGGACGGCGTGCGTGGGAAACCGGGACGTGCACGGGGACGTGGGGACGTGCCACCTGCAGGAATGTGTATGGGAAACTGGGACGTGCGTGGGGACGTCAATGGGGAGCGGGGACCTGTGTGGGGACACACGCAGGGATGGCCTCGAGGAGTGGGGACATGCGTGGGGACACCCACGGGGACGTGCAGAGCGATGGGCGTGAGGATGGACATGGGAAACACGCATGGGGACGTGCACAGGGAACGGGGACCTGCGTGGGGACACCCACGGGGACATCTGTGGGGTGACGGCTGCGGGATGGGTCCCACTGACCCCGGTGTCCCCCTGTGTGTGTCCCCCACAGATCAACATGCTGCTGCAGTACAAGGGGGGGGCGGACGAGGAGGAGTGCCCGGTGCCCGAGGACATCCGCGACGAGCTCCTCGACTTCCACAATGACCTGCTGGCACACTGCGGTGAGACGGGACCCCCCCCCATCCCGGCGCACAGGGACCCCCGCTTGGGAACAGGGACCCCCAGGGGCACGGGGACCCCCCCCATGCTGGTGGCAGGGGGACCTCCTATCCCAGGACCTGCTGGGGACAATGGGACACCTCCTCCCAGGGGCACAGGGACCCCCACCCAGCGTATGGAGACCCTCACCCTCCTGGGGACACTGAGGGACCCCCAATCCTGGGCAGGGGGGCCCCCATTTTAAGGCCCCCCGATATAAGAGGACTGCAGGGCCGCTCTGTGCAATGGGGACCCACCGTCCTGGGGTGCAGGGACAGCCACAGAGACCCCCACCCCAGGGCATGGGGACCCCCATCCAGGGACCCCGGGGACCCCCAGGAGGATGGGACACCCCCTCCTTTGTGGACACGGGCCCCCCTGTGACCCCTGCGCCCCCCCAGGCATCGAGCTGGCCGGCGAGGAGGAGGAGGAGGAGGAGGAGACGTCCCTGCGGCAGCGGCTGCTGGGGCTGGTGCAGAAGGTGGTGGGGCTCCGCGGGACGGCGGCGCAGGAGGAGACCCCCCCTGAAGAGCCCCCGGTGCCCAGTGAGGGGGGGACGGGGGGACGGGATGGGGTGGCCCCTGGGTGCCAACCGAGGTGTCCCCAGGTCATGGCCAGGCGGTCCCCAGGGCGGAGGTGGGCTCAGGCTGTGCCAAGTCACCCCCAAGTCACCACCAGTCTAGAGCCGTCCCCAGGGCATGGCTTGATTGTCCCCAAGGTGCCAACCGAGCTGTCCCCAAGGCACAACCGAGCTGTCCCCAAAGCACTGGCCAAGCTGTCCCCAAGGCATGGCTGAGCCATCACCAACCGAGCTGTCCCCAAGGCATGGCTGAGCCATTGCCAACCAAGCTGTCCCCAAGGCGTTGGCCAAGCTTCCCCCAAGGCACAACCAAGCTGTCCCCAAGGCGTTGGCCAAGCTTCCCCCAAGGCACAACCAAGCTGTCCCCAAGGCGTTGGCCAAGCTTCCCCCAAGGCACAACCAAGCTGTCCCCAAGGCGTTGGCCAAGCTTCCCCCAAGGCACAACCAAGCTGTCCCCAAGGCACGGTTGAGCCATCACCAACCAAGCTGTCCCCAAGGCGTGGCCAAGCTGTCCCCAGGGTGCCAACTGAGTTGTCCCCAAGACACAGCCAAGCCATCCCCAACGCGATGGTGGGCTCGGGCCGTGCCG